GTCCTCGCCTGCTGCAGACTGGTCTAATGGAACTATCACCAGATGTGGTCCATCACAGAGAAGATTATCTAACTAGCTGATAGCAGGACCACAGACACTCTGTGGAAGTGCCTAGTTTATGCTCATGAACAGAGGTGTGCACCAAAAGTCAGCACTGCTTCTGAAGAAAAAAATTTTAATATATTTTTTTGGCTTTATTAGATAGGTGCACAGTGAAAACTGACATAAAAGCGAAGGGAAAGACATGCGGCAAAGTGCCGCAGGTCGGACTCAAACCCGGGCCGGCCACACTCAGCCATGCGGCATAAGGTCGCCTGCTCATCAAACTGAGCTAAACTGGCACCACCTTCTGAAGGAAGTTGAAGAAAAAAATTGCAAAGAGCCAGTATAAACATAGGGCTTTGCTGATGTCACAGTTGGAGTGTGACAAAATAAGTGTTGACTGTACACACGACTGGACCAGAATTATAGATAATTAAATGTTGCTGGGTTTAACATTTGGTGCATCTATTTATCCCCGTTCTGTCTACTCTGTATGTTAATTTTCCAACTCTGGGAATAATAAAGGCTCTCTGATCTTATCTCATTTTATCTTGCCTCCTTTTTTTCTCCTGAAATGAAAACATTATGAACTAAAAACTTTCCATGCTCGATCAGTTTATTGCTAATAACAGCTCAGAAAGACAAGAGACGCTGTCTGTTGCAGTTTGAGTGATGTACAGTCAGGTCTGTGATTTGTGGCACTCTGACACAGTTTCACCTCTGTGTACAACCAAAGTGGATGTTAAATTAGTGAAGATGTGAATAAAAGCGTAAACCTTCTGCTTGAGTTCAGGATTTTACCTGACCTGGTGCATTATCTGTGGACTAACCGAATTACAGCCATTGTCAGAAGCTCAAAATTAAATGGACAAGCGTTTTCATGGCAAAGTTAGGTATGTTCTTGGGCCAGTAACAATAAGAAGTATCACAATTTATCTTTATCGTTCATGTGGTTGGATGTAGACTCACATTAGGTGGCTCTAGAGGATTTACAACAAGGTGCAAACCAGTGGTTACACTCGAGACCAGGAAGGTCAGATTAGACTTTACCAGAAAACATCAATCAAAGACGGCAGTTCTGGAAAACAACTATAAGACAGGAGTGAATGTTTTATATTTCATATCTTGTCAGAGTCTGATTCACAGTGACTACTCTCTGAAAACTGGAAAATCTCACATTTGCTGATTGTCATTAGAGCACAACACTAAAGTGTGACAAAATACTCATCATAGAGTCACAGAGACACATTTGGATTCATCTTTCTTAAATTTACCAAACTTTTGCTAAACATGAGAAAAAAATAAGATCGAGAGAAAAAGTGATCATTTCTTTTTCTCATCAATAATTTTACTTTGTATCTGCTGGGATGCACGCAATCTCAACTCTTGCGCGCGGACATCAGCCGAGAACGCGAGCTCGGTTCGGCTGCGCTCGGCTGTTTCCGGACACTGACCTGCCGCTTGCAGCCGGACTTCGGGCTTGAGCACGGCATCGAGCAGCCTCCTCTGGCGGCAGATCTCCCGCTCTGAGCGCTCCACTCTGTCCTGGTACTCCGCCACGGTCTCCTCCAGCAGAGCGACGATCTCCTCCGCGGCCGCCGTCAGCCGCTCGGTCAGCAGCGCTCTCAGCGCCGGGAGCTCGGCTGCTTCTTCTCCCTTCTCCAGCCGCAGCAGGAAGTCTTCGGCGGCGGCGCTGATCCGCTCGTGGACCGACACCCGCAGCAGCTGCACGGCGCACATTCTGCGGCTTCTCCCCACCGGGAGCCTCCGGGACAAAGAGAGCCAGTGGAAAGGTAAACACGCTGCGAGTTCCGAGTCGAGGAGCGCGGTGCGGAGAGAGCGAACAGCGCCCCTGCTGAAGCGGAGGCTGTCGGAGTCAGAGGAGAGTTGTGAGCGTGCGCCGGCGTCTCCTTGCTACTTTCTGGTTGTGCGGGACATTTTTAGCCAGAAGTAAACCGCCTGTGAGTCAGCAGATCAACTGATCAGAAAGCCATGAGAAAAAGGTTGCGCATTCAATGATGAGCAGGTGAGGCTGAGGAGCATCACATGTGGTAGAATTTATTTATTTTTAAACTACCTCATAATTTTAATCACACGTTTAGGTATTGTAGAATAGAGCATTGAAAGTAGACTGGTACACTCTGATACTAACAGACACAAACAAATAGAAGACACCGCCCCACGGATTGTGTGTGGGTTGTGATAGGATGCTGTTCTGTATGGCACAGCAAAGCACAGAAACTATAAGATATAAATTCTGGCAGAGCTCTCCCTCTCCTCTTCTTCTTGCTCTCTACAGGCCTGACCAGAGAACAAGAGACAGTTGCCATGGTGAAGTGGGGAGAGTTTTCTTCCTATCACAGGGAGAAGCTCGCTGCATAAAGTGCAAGATGACCTAAGGGATGGACCCACACCAGGGGGACCAAGTTTAAACTGCAGTCTTCACCCAAACTCTCAACCAGTGATATGAATATTCTCTTTCTGTGTCTCCTAATAAAAGTGTGTTCTGCTTGGGTTCGGAGCGCTTTGTCTGTTTTGGCATATGGACCAGAGGAAGAGGCATGGCACAGTTAGTTACCTGAAATTTAAACTGCTTAATAATAAATTTTGAAAAATTATACTTGGATTATATACTTTGACTTTATACTGATTGTCATTTTGTTTGTTGAATAATTCCAACTTTATTAATAAAGTTTAAAGAAATAGGAATCTGGTTCAGATTGAGTCCACAGTAATTCATAGTCCTCATGTGGTCCAGCAGCTGCCTTGTTGGCTCCGTTATGAGCAGCAGCCAGATGGAGCAAGATTCTGTCCTCCTGGTTTACTGTCAGAGGACTAGGTCATCACTGAGCTGCTGTTTGTCACTCACCTTGGACTTACCTGACACAGGTGCCGCTGTTAGCTAGAGCTCATTGGATGCAGTCAGGTTGTTAATAAAGTTTGTCAGTAATATCAATTCTTGTTATTTTTAGTTTTCTTTTCTCTTTTTTCTAGTCCTGCAGCAAGTCTTTTGATGAATCACCTGTTTTCTTCTCTGGTGAGACATGACAATCCCTATAAATAAGACAAGTACCCCATTAAAAAAAAAAGCAGGATCTTAATCAAATGAAAGGATAATTATTCATAAAGACACTGGTGACACACACAGTAGCTCCAAATTTCCTGAACATCTCTACACGACAAGCAGCAGGTGAAGTGAGGACCCGGTCATGGACTAGCAGTTTCTAATAACTTACTGTGCGTTTATGGTGACTGAGCATGGGAACGTATCTTTATCCTGTATAAAACTGCTGATCTTGTCAGTTGCTTGCTGTATAAGCTTCCATTTGGCCTTAAAGTGACCAAGCTATTTAAATTACAGACAGAAATTTCATTTTATTTCATTCCTGCTGCTGGTATCCTCAACCCACGTAGTCATATCTGAGGATAAAACTCACTTCTGTCTACACCACATCCCTGCAGACCTTTCTCCAATCCACCTGTCAGATTCCCACTCCACTCTCCCCAAGGTGGGGCTTCAGGGGGTACATCCATGGGCTGATATGACTCTTTCAAGCTCATTATGATGCTAATGCATCCTTGTATGAAACTGCAAAATAGCACAAAAAAAACAAAAAATCACAAGACTCAGTGCCTCCCACTGGCTTCATCCTAGGGAGAAGCAGTTTGTCAGCTTGTGTTGTTGGTTCAGTTTCTTCTTTCTTTTGGGTAGTTTCCATCATATTCATACCAATTCTTTGTAGCGACTTACAAGACATTCTAGCCTCTAAGTTAGCATGAGGAAAGCATTGCCATGTCCAAACCTGTGAGATACAAAAAAAATGAAAATGCAGGAAAATCAAAATGTGAAACACTGGCTGAATGTGTGGGATGTAGAAAGGGACACCTGGTCAGGTATGAATCCAGTCACTGGGCTACAAACATTTTATAAATAGCAGCGAGTTTGCCCAATGCCTGCCTGCCTGTTCAAACCTCTGGACTTCACAACACACTCTGAAGCTGCTCAGCTCAGCTAGCTACAGTTCACTGCAAAATAACACAATCTGCTGATTATGTTCACGAACATGCACATATTTCCCACAACCTTCGATTATATTCACTCCACCAATGGAATAATTCCTGTAAAAATCTAAAAATAAATAGTTACAGAAGCAGATTCAAATTAATGGTAGGAAATATTTGTATGAATAAAAAGGTCACAACAGTACATGAATACATACTTGTAATAATCGTGTTAGGGCTGCCACAACGATTATTTTGATAGTCGACTAGTCATTGATTATTTTTGCGATTAGTCGACTAATCAGATCATGCATCCATTGGACGTAAAACGTACAGCTGATTGCGCCAGCAGCATCTGCTCTTATATAACTATCATTAGCTTACAGCTTTAAGTGTTTAAGGTATGTGCTAACTAAAAATAAAAACAAGATGATAGTTTATTAAATTTTAATGACATTTGCTGATTGTTTCGGTGGAGTTTGATAAACTCAGCTGTCTGCTCCTTGCTATCTAAAATATAACAGGACACCGGAGTATATTCTCGAGTGTCTCACACTTCTGATAATCAGCTGTCTGCTTGACGTTTATTCAGCTGTGTAAAAACTATAACTTTAATCTCAGCCAAACCGATTTACTCAGGAACAAATAAAATACTGAAAAAAGCCAAACAATAACATTTTTAAGTTATCTAAGTAACTTTTATCATGTTTAACCTGAGTAGCGAAAGACGGAGGTGGGTTTGAAAATTATTTGCCGGGATTCCGGTGTTCTCACCGGCTCTAGTGAGCCTTGAACCCCAGCTAGCTATCGAGCTAGTGGGTAACAGACGTCTCCGAAAACGTTTGAGCGCTTTTGAAAATATGTGTCTTGATAAACTGAGCAGATATTTGAAGTTTACACAGCTACATTCTCGCCTGAAAATATGTTAAACATTTATGTTGTGACCCAGAAAGAAAAATAAGAATAATATTAAAACTAACTAGCTGCCGCCATTGTTGGAAACTGAGCAGGGCCGCGCTATGAATTCTGGGATAGGTTGGGCTACGAAGTATACACCAGACCTATCCTTCAAATCTGGGAAAATGAAGGGCGCATTTGTCGGAGTCTTCAAATTTGGACAGTCTTCGTCATGTCGCTGTAATGTAATCGGCCTACAAATGCAGGCACAGGAGGATGCGGTTCCTGAATTTTGACACAGCTACGATACCGGACACTCCTTCTTCTTCTTCAGGGTTCAACGGCAGCTGGCATCCTTGTACACGCAGTGCTGCCATCTTCTGTTTCAGTCCGTTATTACACGCTTAAATCCTACTACTTATTCCTGCGTCTTTTGGGATCTTACAAAGCTTCAAACGACGCGTCGACTATTAAATTAATCGTCGACAATTTTGATAGTCAACGTAATCGTGACTAGTCAACTAATCGTGGCAGCCCTAATTTATGTACTGTATTCACTTGAAACTTAAACACAACCTAAAATCCAAAATAGACTTTTTTTATTTCATTTTTAAGATTTGTAGCTGTGGACAATCAACCTGTTTACCAGCATCCTTATATGTTTAATATGTTGCTCCATAAACACCAAGAAATAATATGAGAAAAACTCAGTTGTTAAAAACACTGAAAACTAGAAACTATTTCTATCTGTGGAGCTCCCAGAATACGTCATTTGTAAAAATTACCGATTGTTAACTAATTTCTTAATGCATGTTTCAAAGTTTTAGCTCGAAGGTTTCGAGCCTCCACCCTTGCTGTTCCTAAACTATCAGAAAGTGCCGCCTCCTGAAGGATACTTCTTTTAGGCAGGCTGTCTCTTGTGAAGCTTCCTTGTCCTGAGTTTTACACATTTCATTCAGCTGATTTAAAAGTGATAGACTGGAATCTTGACTGTTGTAGTTTTAATTTAAAAAAAAAAAAAAAAAAACTCAAATATTTCTGCATAAAAGCAGCCACACTGTCTGGCAGGAAGCTCATCATGTCTATATCATCTCTGAAGATATGGGAACATAAATATACTTCAACATGTTTATGAAGCAACAGCTTCTCAAACTGAGGACTTAACAGGAGCTGTGTCTGCAGCTCACAGCTGGATGAAGTCAGGCTGAACTTCCTGTCTTTGACAGTCTTTGACAGGCTGCTCTCCCCTGTGGACCTTCATGTGTGACTCCACTGAGCGTTTCTCCTGGTACCTCTTCCCACACTCCTGGCAGCTGTAGGGTTTTTCCCCTGTGTGAGTTAGCATGTGTCTCTTCAGGTCGATCTTCTGTACGAAGCCCTTATTGCAGAGCTGGCAGCTGTGGGGTTTCTCCTTCTTGTGGAACCTCTCGTGTGTCTCCAGTGAGATTTTCTGGCGAAACCTCTTCCCACAGAGGCTACAGATAAATGGCTTCTCACCCGTGTGGATCCTCATGTGAGAGTCCAGGTTTCCGATTTGCCTGAAGTTCTTCCCGCACACCCTACAGGTGTATGGCTTCTCCCCAGTGTGGATCCTCTTGTGAACATCCAGGTGTTGGCTCATGGTGAACTTCTTGCCGCAGACCTCACAGGAGTATATTCGTGGTTTCCCTCCCATGTGGCTCTTGATGTGCCTCTTTAGGACTGTGTTTTCTATGAAAGTCTTCCCACAGAACTCGCAGATGAACGGCCGCTCACCAGCATGCAGCTTCATGTGCCTCTCCAGCGAACCCTTTCTGGGGAAGTCCTTCCCACAGTCTTTGCACCTGAATGGTTTCTGGCCCGTGTGTGTCCTCATGTGGATCTCCATGTCTCTGAAGCTTATGCCACAAATGTCGCAGATCCGGCTTGTTTCTCTGTGACTCTGGATGTGCAGCTGCAAACTCTCAGAGGACTCTGCACGCTCTCCACAGATGCCACAGAGACAATCAGGGTGGTTTAGATGCGTCTCTGCATGCCTCACAAAGTTTCCTTTGTTGTGAAACGCATTGCTGCAGACCTTGCAGCAGTGAGAAGGGGTTAGGCTGGGTTTTCTGTGCCGGCTACTGATGGTCGTTTGCTCATCTGATCCATGGCACCGGATATGTCGCCTCAGCTCAGCACTCTTTGCAAATTCTTTTCCGCAAAAGCTGCAGCTGAGCGGTGTCTGTCCGTCGTGAGCTTTCATGTGTCGTTCAAGCGAGCTGCCTTGACTGAACTCTTTGTGGCAGATGTTGCAGGTGAATGGCTTCTCTGCCGTGTGGATTCTCATGTGGGTTACCATGTTGCCCTTCTGATTGAAGCCTTTCCCGCAGACAACGCAGCTAAAAGGTTTCTCTCCAGTGTGCATCCTCATGTGCATCTCCTGAGCTCGGATTGAGGGAAACTTCTTGCCGCAGACATCGCATGTCTTGGTGCTGTCACGGTGCATCTGGAGATGCAGCATTAGGCCATCACTGGACTCAAAACGCTCACCACACAGACCACACAGACAGTCGGCCTCTTTCAAGTGCTTCTCCACGTGCTTCATCAGAAAGCCTTTCCTGTCAAAGGACTTCCCACACACTCTGCAAAGGTGAGACACCAACTGCTTGTCGTTCTCACATTGTTCTTCGTCTCCTGTTGGATCATCTGGAGAGGCCAGCTGGCGATCCAGTTCAGAGATGGTCTGTGGTCTGGAGGATGTGCCAGGCAGAGTCTCCTTCAGTTGGTTGTCTATCGAGTTGCTTGGCTTCAGACGTTTCTTGTCAGAGAGACTCGTGACGCCAACTGACAAACACAACTCTGGAGAGAAAATACATGACATGTGATTATTTAAATCATGTGACTCTATCACTTTTTTTTTTTAAAGGTTTATGTGTTACCTAAACACTAGCCCCGCCCATACTTTCCCTCTGATGCCCTTTCTGCATGGTCCACGCCAGAAGCCTGATTTGTTTTGCACACACTTTTGCTTCTTTTGTTTCCTGTCATTGCTGTAGTTTAAAATTAATCATTTTCTTGCTGTCGTGGGATTAAATTTACTGAACTACTGATACCTGAACTTTGTATATTACATTAGAGTTTATATCAGAGTTTGCTTCAGTAATGTTGAGGCGCAGGATTTGGAGAGACCAGTTACTGATAGTGTTCCAGTACATGTTTTTCCATCCAAGTATGTTTTTACTGCATTGGTGGTGTTTTTTGAGATCACTGTCATGCTGAAAATAAAACTCTGCAGTAATGCTTAAACTTCCATCTGTTAATACATTCAGTTGCTTTTTTACCAAAGGAACAATAGTGCAGGAACCACAAGTAAAGCCACACATTAATTTGATAATTTCTATCCTGCAGACAAAGCTTTTACCACCACTCACATTTAATTATTAGTTATTATTAATCTGTGGCTCTCTTCCAGTGGGTCTTTGTCCTGTCTTCCTCACCCCCCACCAGTCGTAGCAGGTGGCTACCCCTCGATGAGCCTGATCCTGCCACAGGTTTCTTTCTGTTAAAAGGGTGTTTTTCCTTTTCACTGTGGCCAAGTGCTTACTCATAAAATACTCATACAATACCATACAATCTTTTATAAACAACAGTGTCCAACACAATCCAAGTGTTCGTGGGCAAGAGTTTGTGTGCAAGTGGGGTGGAGGAATCAGTGAAAAGGTGGCGATGCTACATGACAGGTTTGCCCTTGCTGTTCTTAGGCTCACCTCATCCCGGCTCTGAAGGCCACATTACATGTTTCCCCGTATAGGAATTTTCACGTGTTTCTCCAGTTTGGGCAGTCTTTTGGTCTGCATGATTCAAATCGCCCACCAGGATGAGAAAAGCATCTGGGTGGGCCTTCTGCTGCTCACTGACATGCTAATACATTTCATTCAGTGCCTCACTCCAATTGTTGTTAATGGAGCAGGGAGGGATATAAACAGCAACAAACAGTATGGCTGAAAATTCTCTCAGTAGGTAGAATGGTCTGCAATTGATGATCATAGTAGCAGAGGTGAACAGTGTTTGCAAGCCACAACAGGGTCGCAGCACCAGGCATCATCGATGTAAACACAGAGTTCCCCTCCATGAGCCTTACCCCCTACCCCATTCCAAAAGTGCTTGGATGGCGCTTTTGGGAATGTTAACATGTGGAAACATGTTAAGCCATGTTTCCACAAACACGAAGACCCAACACTGACTTCGAAGTGGACCAAAGTAAGCGAGCCTGATTCAGCTTGCTGTCCAGGGGAGTGCACATTGGGACAGTTCAATGGTGGGAATAGCGGGTTTGTGTGGATTAGCCGCTAACCTGCTCCGGATGCCTCCGCGCTTACCCCTCTTCTGTTTCCTCTCACACCGCCTGAGACATTTCCACTGTGGGCGAGATCTAGTAGCAAGGGTCGGTGATAAATGCCTCCGAAGCAGTCCGCAGTGCTCTAGTGTAATTTGTAGTTCTTCCGTGTATCGTGAATTTGCTTCTGTTGATTTTGAGCATGCACTCACGACTGTACCTTACAACAATATAAAGCACCCTGAGGTGACTGCTGTTGTGATTCAGTTCTTTATAAATACAACTGAATTGAATTGAACGTTTTTTAAAGCCCTTACAAATAAGAACTATTTTGCTCTAGAAGTACAGAAAGGACCACATAGCATCTCTTTGTCTCGGACCATCTCCAGCATCTTTTTCATCTTCATGCATCTGGTCTCCTTCTGTCATTGCACAGTTTCTTATGTCTGCTCCTTTATTCCAGCATCATCACATCAACACTGTTTCAGCTCGGTCTGTATTTTAATCCTAAATTTGAAACGAAGTCTCAAGCATTCTTGAGCCTCGTGTTAGTTTAGTACTTACTTATGTGAAACTAATAAACGTGATGTGTTTACTGGCTAAACTCCCACACTGACAGGTAATGTTTCCTGATAGCACTGTGTGCAAATACTTCATTAAATCCATGTAGTATTCGGAGTATTTAAATGCAGAAAGGAGATAAAGTTATCATTGAAAATCTGTTTATACATATACATTCAGATCTGTCGTATATAAACAGAAGAATGAGCACTAAAAGATCTGGGGGAGGACCGTGAGCGCGCCAGTAAATGGGACTAATTGAGGCTGCAGTGTGGTGCTGAATGTGGACACTGACCTTTGCGCTCCCCACCGGGATCTTCCGCGCCTCTCTCGGCCGCTCTGCTCGCTTCGAACGCGTTGAGGATGAGCTCGATGGCCGCCGACAGCCGCTCCACCAGCAGCTCCCGTAGCTCCGGCAGCTCGGCTCGGCTGCGTTCATGCAGCAGCCGGAAGATCTCCTGAGCGGCCGCCGCCATCCGCTGCTCGATGGTGGCCTTCAGCCTGCGGCTCTCGGACCGCTTTTTCGACATTTTGCAGCGAACAAAGAGCAGAATGTAAACAGGACGAGACACTTCCGGGATCGCCGGGCAAGCGTCACTGGAGGCGGACGCTCATTTCCTGCATGAACCGGAATGTGACTCTACAGCTGCTGTTATGCTACCAGCTAAAATCCGACAGAAACGTCCGACAGAGAAATAAGGTGTAAAATTATTCAGGTTTCAGTTTAAAGTGTCCAGCTTTCACTTTTCTTCCAGTGTCGTGTAAACGCTTCAAATGTCAATGCATCACGTGACACGAAATTTGTCAAAAACACCTCAATTTAAAATGTCTTCACTAATTCACAGAGATCTACAGCTTCAATAATAAAGCTTTAGGTAAATTGTCAATTAACAACGTCTCCTGTTAATTTCTGCATGTACCAGAACCACTAACAAGCAGATACTGAGTTTAAATATAGAGGTTAGTGAAGACACCATCCAACTTGTCGCATAGTGTTAACGTCTGTCGAACTGACCGTTAATCTTTAATACAATAAAATAAAATAAATCTTTAAAAAAGATTCTTAAAGAATCTTTAATAAAATAATTCTGACGTTTCACAGGCACATCATGACCAGATTTCAAAAATCAGAAGAGTCTGGAGCTGGATTTATAATAATAAAAACTGCAATATCGTATTGGTAGGAAGTATATGGGAACAGAAACCTCTGGACTCGTTTTTTATGCTTGGAGAGCTGACCATTATCTGCGAAGGACATTATGGGCTGGTGGAGTGGCTATACTGTCCTTAGCACTGCTTTTTCGGGTTTACCTCTGACATGAGACAGAAAGCAGGTGATCTGAGAGGTCTGGATTTCTTATAATGTTCCCAATGATGCTGCATGATGCTCACACTATATGAATGTTAAAACTGCACCTTCATTCCTTCATTCAAAGCAGTGTTGGGGGG